GTAACAAACTACCTTTCAATTTCAAAATAAATCAATGTATAGATAGACAGATAAGACATAGAGCCTTAAAATGAGTCTGTCTCCTAGATGATATAAAGTACAATTCCTTTAAGTACTTGTTACAGGTTGTGTTGTTTTCGTTTGTTTTGTTTTAGTCTTCTGTTTTTGTACTCACTGTTATTGTGTCTCCACAAAGGATTTTCTACTCTGAATTGCTAGTAAGAGTTAAGCTTGATGGTTGATAAAACAAGTTCACCTTTTGTGAAATAAGAGAAGTGAGAGACAGGCAACAAAATATAAAATTTAACCCCAAATAGATACATTTGGGGAGAAAAGGTTACACACGGGTAAAGGATTAGAAATACTTTCTTTAAAAGTATATATACCCTGTATCCTCCTGGGTATTTTAAAAATGCACTCTTCAGAATGTATTTCCTCCAGTTTGAAGACTACTAAGTGATAATATGTGCTTAGAGAAGAGCTGACAGAACGGAGATGATGAGTTGAATGTGTATCCCCCACATTGCGTTCCTAAGGCTTATATCTCAGGCCCACGGCTGTGTGTTCATCATCATCCTCGTCATCATCATCATCATGTGCTGTTATATAATACTATATATTATCTTCAGTCCTCTTACCTTTAGTCATCTTTACACGAAGGATACTAAAACTCAAAATGAATCTTTTTTCTGTATTTTGTTATCTAAAATGATATAACATTTCCATTGCCCAGGGTAAAACACCAATGTTTATGCTTTTCTTTCTAATATAAAAACTATTGTTTTTAAAATGTTTGCTGTGTGTTTGGTACTTAAAATAGCCCTAGAAGAAAAATACTATTATCATCATTCCACTTTTCTATTTGCAGACCAAAAAATTGAGTCAGGAAAGACCTAAATTGACTAGACAAAATCAAGAACTTCACTCTGTGCCTTGTTTAGCAATTGGTTAATTTATTACTGACTTGATGAGTAGTTGATTTAACAGTAACATGATGCTACACAGACATACGTGTTCAGAAAAAAGAACAGAAGAGATAAGACTAGATAAAGTGACAGAATCATCTGCACATTCGCTGGTGACTTCATGGGACAGCTAGGAGGCTTTTGTCATGCATATGGAGTCATGGTCCATAATGACCTATCTAAGTGACCCAATGCAGTTCAATGGCTTCCAGACTAGACTCCTCATCCACAGGAGTCTGTGGAGGTCTGTGGAATGTTGCAGAAAAGGGGGTCCAATCAAAAAGGACCTCTTCTAGTTCAAACACTTCTATCTCCTGTCTTCTCTGGTGTTTTCTATTTAGCTCAATGAGGACTAGTTAGGAACATAGGTAATATAAAAGTAGAAATAGAGATAAATATATACAGAGAGATGGAGAGATAAAGAGAATGAAGAAGACATAACACAGAAGGATGAAGAGTATTGAAAACTATTCTGAGGGTATTAGAAAGATGGCTCAGTGGTAAAGAGCACTGGCTGCTCTTCCAGAGGACCTGGGTTCAATTTCTAGCACCCACATGGCAGCTCATAACCATTTGTGTAATTGTAACTCTAGTTCCATGGAATTTGATGCACTCTCTTCTGACTTCCAAAGGCACCAGGGACTTAGGTGGTGCACAGACATACATGCAGACAAAATAATCATACCCATAAAATAAAAATAGTTACAAAAATAATTATGAACAGATGCGTCCTCAAATACATCATTCAAATAGTTCTTTAGATATGCATTATTTTTTCTTTTTTATTAAATCATTTATTAATTTACTTTACATCCCAGTCACTGTTTCCCTTTCCTCCTCTCTACCCAGTCCTTCTCTCCACCTTTCTTTCTTCCCATCCACTATTCCTCCTTTTCTCTTCAGAAAAGGGGAAGCTTCCAATGGGTATCATCCAGCCTTAGCATATCAAGTTGAAGTAAGACTAGGTACATCTTTTCCTATTGAGTCTAAAAGAGGCAGCCCAGTAGGGGAAAAGGTCCCAAAAGTAGGCAAAAGAGTAAAAGAAGGCTCCTGTTCCTGCTGTTAGGAGTCCCACATGAAGATCAAGCTGCAAAACTATGCAAAGGGCCTAGGTCAGTCTCATACATGCTCTCTGGTTGGTGGTTCAGTCTCTGTAAGCCCTATGGGCCCAGGTTAGTTAATTCTCTAGGTTACCTTGGGAAGTTCTTGACCCTCTAGCAAATATTTTATTTATTTTTGAGACAAGGTCTTCTGTAGCTGGTATTATAATCCTTATGTAGCTGGAGTGGCCTTGAACTTCTGATCCTACTGCCACCACCACGTAAGAACTAGGATTATAGGGAAACAATATCACTTTCAGTTTTATACAGTGCTGTAGAGCAAATCCAAGACTATGAGCATGCCAGGCAAGTACTATGAGTTGTATTCCCAGCCCTTCAGACACTTTTGTTGAATAAAAATGAGTAAATGAATAAACAAACAAATGTTATTCCGGTAACAATAGTTTTGTAGGGTTGTAGTAAGGATAAATGTTAATATACAGAGTTTAACACAGCCCGAATCTTACTGTTTTGCAAGTAAAATAATAAATATAATAATTGTTATTACCCATCCCCGAACTTTTTGATGGATGTGCAGGTACCTGTGTGGTCTTTCTTCCTAAGCTAGATAGAAATCCCTAATTAAACTTGTGTTATACATTACTTTTGACTCTATGAAATATGCTTGAGTCCGGAGAGTATTTTCCATCAAGGGAAGAGTTTGAGAATCTTAGAATCTCTTTGGTTTTCCAGTCAGTCCTTATGAGTTTAAGCTAAAAGAACATGGAAGTCTTGAGTGGAGCCACATGCAGCAAAACTGTTCAGCCATCCAGAGAGGTCAAGATCCTGTAACCTATAGGGCAGAGTATTTCTCTCCCCACTATTCCTTAGGGTTGAATCATACCACCCTGGTTTATATTATTTGGTTTCAACACAAAATTCATGAATTTACAGACCAGAAGAGAAGATGTAGAAAAGTATACCAAGATTTTGGCTTGAAAATTTATGTCTTTAATTTACCTAAATCATTTAGAGTTAAATACCACTGTCTCCTGAGTCACACTGAACTGTAAAAATGATGTAAGCCATCTAGGGTGAGACTTTGTCTTTGACAGGTTGTGTGAAATGGCACAGACACCTTAAGCATTCCTAGCATAGTAGATGGTCTCATTCGTAACAAAAGAGTAAGAACACTGACAGGCCCATGACATAATCTGAATTTATGGAATGTAAAAAGAATCCCAGTACTGATACAACCCCAATACCAGACGTTGTAGAGATACATATCCTCTGGAAACACTCAATAATTTCCCCAAATCTAGAAAACAGGCCATGAAGGGTTAATTCTGTGTAAAGACTTTTTTTTTTTTTTTTTTTACAAGACCACTTTCTCTTCCCTGCTAAAGAGTTTTCCTAAATAGCCAGATGTCTTTTTGGAATATTCAAAACTTGGTTTGCTTTATAACATGCTGATGAGACTCCACTGAGAGTGTCCACACGTGGGTCACTGCCTGTCAGGCACCCATAGTGCAGTCGCAGGGGTCACAGTGAAGCAAGCAAGCAAGCAAAGACTCACCACTCTCCAAGGCCAGTGAAGCCAAAAATCACTAGATGTGGAAGACGGCTTTGACAGGCATCAGGCCCCCCTACTTCTGGGAAGGAACACTTATACAAATATCTAGGTCATGGGCCATCATTTACTGCGTGCCTTTGGCAGTCAAAGGGCATCAGTCTGTGGTCTGAAGCAACTGTGTATTGTTCAGCCTGTACTGAACTGTTAGCTTAAATGGAATCTTTTTTTTTCTTATTGACACAGTTATGAAGATAAAGCTGATACTTTCATTCTTTTTGTAGTGCTGTGAATAGAACCCAAGGCCTTTGGCACATTACACAAGTACTTTAACACCGTGCTGCTCCACAGGCCCCAGATGACCTGTGCTCAAATAAATGAAAACAGAGGTGGGGTGGGGGAAGGATATGGTGCATCATTCATTAATGGTGTAAAACTTTGGAGTAGGGCTAGTTGGGAACATAGAGTCAGAAGGAGAAATCTTTTTTCTTTTCATTTCAGACCTTACTTCATGACTGTGTCAGATAGGAGAGGGTAGGTGGCATCTAGTATTCCTGTTAGCTTTCCTTCATGATGCACAGTGTGAAGAGGAGGCTGGAACACACACGTCACTACTGTCCAACTCAGTGAATAAATGCTGCACTCAAAGACAGGAGGTAAACAAGACAGGAGATTAAGAAAAACACATGCTTTTAATAAAAAGTGCCCTTGAAGACCATACTGTGCTTAGTTAGTGTTCCAAGCCAGTGTTTCCAATAACTCACATAAAGTAAAGCATATTCTATTTTAAAGATGGCTACTATAATAGAAATACACTTTTCTTGTTTCTGCGAGGATCCCAAACTAGTTGTTCACTGGTCTCTAACAAGATTTTTGCAGGCTGCTGAGAGCTGTTTTAGGAGATGTGTGCATTTAACTGAAAAATCTAATGCATCAAGAATCAAGCACTTTGACAAAAATTAGAGTCAATGAAGGGACATTTTTCAAGCAGTACACACAATGCTGAGAATTTTTAAGGGTCATTGGTTTCTGCACCTGTCTTTGTAATTTACCCTTCTCACCCTTCAAGCCCATGTATTATGCTTTGTGTGTTCAGAATGTGGAATCCTCAAAAGAGAAGGGGCGTTCAATACACCAAATGGATCCTGGGCCTGGAGATGAGTGTGTGGGGGAAGAAATCAAAAAGCAGATGGGATGACACACTTTGGTGACTGGCGGAGAGATGCAGTCTTCGATGCATATTTAGGTTCCTGTTTCTGATTCTGCCACAGTTGTGTTGACAAATGTCCTTGCCATCTCCCTAGTATAAGCAGTTTATGCTTAGAACCAGAGAATAGGATTGGGGGAAAGCGGAAACTCTGATCAGTCAACGAGGAAAAAAAGTGTACCCCTAGGAAAGAAGGTTCTCCTGGAGCAAAACTGTACCTGGAGACCGATTGAGGTTGAAGCATAGAGCAATGGAAGAACTGAAGCCTGCCTCTTCCTAGGCAAAGGAGTGCTTGTGCTGAAGGTGGGTTGCTGGTAGGGTGGAGGTGGGGGTGGGGGTGGGTTTGCTCCTCCCAGCCCCAAAGCTGGGGAACAGCAGGAAACTGGGAATGGTGTTGGCGAGGCTGTTATGCCAGGACAAAGTGTTGGTTATGAGGGTGGGTGGGGGCCTGAGGGGTGGCTTGGAGCCCTGGCGGTGGCTGCCTGACGTCACCGGCCTCTCTGGCAATAGGCTAAGAGCTGAGCTCCCTGTAGCAGCAGCAAAGGCAGCAGCGGCGGCGGCGGTGGCGAGGGCGGCAGCAGCAGAGCGGCTCTGTCTCTGGTTCCAGCGCTCCGTGCCTTCTGCAGCCGCTACTGCAGCCAAGGCGGGGGTTCCTTCTCTGCAACCGGCTGGTCCTTCCAGGTAAGAGACACTGGTCGGGATGAAGGCTTCCATGGCCAGCGGCCCCAGTGACAGGATGAGGGCGGGTAAGACCACTCCCAAGGCCTGCGCAGGCACCTCTGGACAGAGCTTCAGCCCCCGCCCCTGCCCCGGCCGAGGCTAGCGCTCTGCCTTGCTGCTCCGCAGTGCAACAGTTTGCACCTGCCTTATGAGAGAGACAAGGGAGCTGTGCTGCCTGCCGCGGGTCCTCCGGCTTGGTCCTCTGCCATAGCCTCTGGGCCCTGGGGCCAGGGCCCAGGGAAGGCTGGAGAACAAGGTCGGTTTCCCAAACTTTGCAGGCGGGAAGCCTTCCCCTTCCAGTTCTTGCTCTGGAAGAAAGAAAAAGGATTCATAATACTGTCAAGTGGGAAGCTCAGGGAGATGGGGGGCGGAGGGCGCTTGGGAGGATGTGCCTCCGCTGAGGAGGGTGTTTCATCTGCTTTTGATAGAGAGAAAGGGGGAGGATGGTAGCAAGGAAGAAGGCTGGAGAAAGGTCGAGCATGACCCTGTGTGCAAGGGACAGAGGCAGTAGGATGTATCCCCTGGGACGGGGATCTTGGGGCTCTGAAGGTCCAGGCTGGAAGTGTTTGGAGAGAAAGGGATGAAGAAGGACTGCGTACAGGGAGCCTGCTCGAAGTGCGTGCTGGCGAGAGTGGATCCTGAGTCGAGATCCACAGAACACAGAGAACAGGGCAGTTGGCTTTCTGGGAAGTAGATAGAGAAAGCCGCTGTGGCGGCCGCTGTTGGTGGCAATTAGAAAGTTGTGCAGGGGGCAGGGCAGCTGCCTTCTCTGCTGAGTAACCAGTGTCTCCGCGGTGCGGTACGGACGCCAGACCCCATCTGAGCCAGCGGAGCATCTGGCAGCGGCTCTCCTGCGCTGCAATGAGCGGTAGGGTTGGGTCAGTGGGATGTGGAGATGATAGCATCCATTTGAGGGCCGCTTGGCAGTGGTGTCAGATCCCTCTCTTTCTCCGCACTCGCCTTTGCAGTGGCCGGGACCCTAACTAATCCTGTTTTCTTTGCAGCATTGTGCCTGGGGAAAGGAAACAAGATCAAAGAAGAACGGAGACAATCTCCCTGGGGCCACTAGTTCTGGCCTGCCTGCTTGAGGGCAGTTGCTCCCTCAGTCTTCGGCTGGAGCGCTCACTCTCTCCAGCGCTAGAGAGCAGTTGGGGTGGCTTGGGCTCCTGTCCTCGTCTTGGCTGGTGGGAACCGTGTGTCCAACAGAGGAAGCCTGGTGGGCCTGGCCCCTCTCAGCCCAGCGCCGATGAGTGCCAGGGCACCGAAAGAGCTGAGGCTGGCCCTGCCGCCTTGCCTCCTGAACCGGACCTTTGCTTCCCACAACGCCAGTGGAGGCAGCAACGCAGGTATCCGCAGCTCAGGCGCAGGTGGTGGCACCTGCATCACGCAGGTGGGACAGCAGCTCTTCCAGTCTTTTTCATCCACGCTGGTGCTGATTGTCCTGGTCACTCTCATCTTCTGTCTCATCGTGCTGTCCCTCTCCACCTTCCACATCCACAAGCGTAGGATGAAGAAGCGGAAGATGCAGAGGGCTCAGGAAGAATATGAGAGAGATCACTGCAGCGGCAGCCATGGTGGTGGGGGGCTGTCTCGGGCAGGTGTTCAAGCCCCAACCCATGGAAAAGAAACCCGTCTGGAGAGGCAGTCCCGGGACTCCGCCTTCTGCACCCCTTCCAATGCTACTTCTTCCTCTTCCTCATCCCCTGGTCTCCTGTGCCAGGGTCCCTGTGCGCCTCCACCTCCACCGCCAGCCCCCAGTCCACACGGAGCACACGCAGCTTCCTCCTGCTTGGACACACCTGGCGAGGGCCTTTTGCAAACGGTGGTACTGTCCTGATTATGCAGCCCCTCTCCTGACCCCTTCCTCGTTTCCAGCATCTTTACTGTCCTCGCTTTTGTTCCTCCTTTCTTCCTTTTCCGTTCTCCTTTGGCCCGTTTTCTCTGCCCTCCTCCCTTACCTGACCACCCTTTTACTGTCTCTCCTCCGCCGAGGCACTGTGCGGTATTTGTAAATATTGGGCGAGGAAAGTCTCAGAGGAAGAAATAACGCTGATAATACTTTATTGATATTTATAGTAATTATTATACTATTAATAATACAGTCCAAGAGCATGACAAATCACATAATTTCTCATTGTCAATGAAAGCTGCATCTTCCCTCCCCACCTCGTGCCCCCTTCAGTAAGGAGGAGAAACCGCACAAGCTACCAAATATATAAGACATTGACACTGAAGCAAAGGGATGGGAGGGGGCCGGTGACGTTGTATATAGCTGTCAAGTGAAGGTTTAGTTGCCTTTCTGTCCCTCTCTCATGGGCTTTCACTTTTCCTTTAGCTTGTCTCCCCTCCCTTTCCTCACTTTCAGCTGGGCTCAGGCAATAGCATATTATACAGAGAACATCTACATTAAGCACCAGAGACCACATAGAATGTCCCAGAAAAACGTTTAGGACAGGTAACCCCTCTCTAGTCAGTCAGTCATCATCTTACTTTTTGGTTTCTTCACTGGGCAGAATTTGAGTTTACTTTTAGAAATATCTCTCGCTGGCCGAGCATAGAAAACAAAAACCATACTATCTGCTTTTGTTGCACATTAGGGCCCACTTGCACACTTGACTGGTGGTCGTTTTGTTTTGGTTTGGTTTTTGGTTGGGGCGGGGGTTGGTTTTTTGGTTTTGTTTTGAGCCTCAGAGAACTCAAGAGCTGTCCAGCCAGGTCTGGTGCTGAATATGTCTCGCCTTCACGGTTACTTCCTCTGGTTGTGCAGACCAAAGAAGGAGCTGTTTTGGAAAGTGATTGTCTTGGTTTTGATTGGTTTCTTTCTTATTTTTTTCTACAATTGTTTTTCTTATCATTATACATTGCAAAAGTTACTTTTATGTAAAAAAAAAGTATTAGGTAATGTGCAGTTCTGAAAATGCAATATCTAACCAACCAGTATGTTTCTGTTTTACTTTTAGAACAAGTGCACCTTTGTTATATACTTATTATATTGGTACCAAATACAGAAGAAAACTATAGTTCTGTGATATGTCCTCCAAACTGTATATTCTTGTTCTGACTTTCCAGCTGTTGATATATGGTTGCCACTGGCTGAGGAAGTCAGTGGTGTAGGCCTGGCTTCTGCTGTTTCCGAAAGTGTTCTTTTGTATTTTACTCTGTAGTAGACTATTATAAAACGATGACACCCATGTTTCCCCTTTTTCTTTTGTGAGTAACAGAAACAACCACAACAGAAAACAAATAATGGATGTGCTGGAATGCCATCTATTAAAAACATGGTTAATATTTAAACAGTGCCTGTGGTTCTCTGCATGCAGTTGCCGCCTGGAGGCAGTGCTGTGTGTGCTTGCTTGTACTGTATGTGTCTGGGGGAAAGACTGGTGGAGATGTTGGGCAATTTGGATGACAGGACACGACAATTTCCAAGTTAAATCTGTAAATGCTTACAGGATAAAACTATTTACGGCTTGTTTAGCCATGACTCTGTGCCTGCATCTAATATACAGCAAAGGGGGATCTTTCTTTTTCCCAAGTCTGGCCTAATTAAATTCCCCGAACATATAGAAAATATTAAGGAAAAAGGAAAGTGTGAGAGAAGATAAGTCTTTTGCCCTCTTTTTAAATGTCAGATAAGTCCCTCTATGTTAGACTCTGCTGCTTGGTATAGGGCAGCGAGACCCCTACATACATCTCTCTCCCAAGCCACTAGCTGCCCTCTATGCTCTGTCTTGTTTCAAGTTGTATGTGCTTATTATCCTGAGAAACGTTTGCCTCTAATGTTTTTGGTTATATATAAAGTTTTCCAAGCTCAGACTGTATCTTTATAAAATAATTTAATAAGGTTGATTTAGTCACCCATAGATATCATCGAAGTCCCTTTAGGAAGCACAGAAGACCATCATTTAAGCATGCCATGTGTATCATTAGGAAGACCAGGTATAATCTTTGAATACAATATATTAAACAATGAACCAGATTCTCTCCAGTGCCTTAGTCATTTCCTAGTAACAGGTCAGAGTACGTTCACTCCCTCGGGTCACCAAGGAAGCTGTTAGTGTATCAGAGCTCTACACTGTATAACAGAATGGCTAAGGCACTGTGATGGAGAATGTCCATTAATCTCTTTAACTTGCCCTGATTCAACTGTAGCTCTTAATACCTTCTTACAGCATGGGTTTTGGATGTGAAATCTGAATAGGATCAGGAACCCAGAAGGAAGGTTCATCATTTCTATGAGCTCTACATAACTACATAGATATTACTTTCTTCCCATTATTTGGTGCACTCTTTTTACAGTAAATAATTTCCCATTTTATTAAAGCAATAAGATATTCTGTTTTGAGCAGTGCTAGATGCTGATTCCACTTCCTTGGTGCTGAAGCGACTCATGTGTTCTTGCCTTATGAATCACACTGCATTCAAGGCATGCAATAATAATCCCCTTCCAAGAAGCAGCCTGTACACCCTAGGGGGCAATGTCCTACATACTCTTTTTCCAAAAGAAATAGAGCAAACAAGAAATAAACTAATTATGTGTATTAACAAAAGACATCTTGATACCTCTAACCGTAAGCACACATCTGTAATGTGCTATCATTGTGCACCTTTAAGTGTATACGCCTTTTTCCATCAATTGACTAGGGTTTAATATTTTAATAGTGTCACGTGTAAAGATGATGCAGCTTTTCAATCACATTTCA